TCATAAGGTTTGAGATTTTGCTATGGCTTTCCGGGTGCGAAAACTTTTCGGGACCTTCGAGAAACCGGCCCCTGGTGTTAAAATAAACCATTTTCGATATCTTAAAATTCTATCTTGGCTCTGAGGCTCGGGGGAATAAAACAAAAGAAATCACATCGAGGTTGAGTGATGAATAATTAATTTCTTTTGTTTTATCCCCCCAAGCCTCGGAGCCATGTTAGAATTTTAATGAAAAGTCTCACGCGAGTAGGAAAACTTGTTATTGTGATATGCCCCGGCAATGTGGACCTGTTGAGTGGCTTGAGAACGATTTTACCTTTTATATGGGATAAACACTAGCCCATGAAAGTACACTACTGCTCAACAGCTTTCATTTGAGTGTTCACACACCAGAGCCCTAAAACAGAGCTAAGAATTGATTCACAGAATGTGGGGGACAACTAAAGACGTACATACCTTTCGATAGATTACGCCTTTAATTGCGCTAGTGAGTCTGACACCCAGCACTTCAGTTCTGAAGCAGAAGTGCTGCACACAGAGGCTTTTAATCAAAGCATTGACACCCATAGCTACTGCGCAGGCGTAAAGAAGAAGATCATTCCTCGATTCTGTGGTTGCCATCAGAGAAGAAATCAAATAGCCGAGAAATAGCGGTTGGAAGATCCGACAGCACGACTCTAAAATTCCTGTGAACATGATGATTAAGACATCTTTAACTGAAATCAACTTTAAAACGCTTTTCCAGAATTTCGGCCTCTTTCCATTTTGTTCGCCTTTCGCTTTTTCTTCCTTCCATCTAGTCTGCAGCTTTTCGGTCAATGAAGATGCTGAGTTTTCTTGGGTAAGCGGCAAAAAGTCACTTTGCTCTAAAGCTCGTTTACTGCCTGTCTTGATAACATGGTTCATCCACCGAAAGAAAAGGAAGGATAAAATGCCGACGTGATTTGCTTCACCTTCCTCGGTGGAGATCTTTTGGTAGTCATTCCTTTGCATAGCGTCGAATCTGTAACTGGACAAAAAATGGTTCGTTGATTGGTAAATTGAACGTTTTCCACACAAATCTTTTAACAACTTTATGCATATTTTTTCTCTACCTTTTTTTGTCTTTAGTCTGGTATTATTTATTACAGTGTGTCATTTTCCTCAGGTTCTACGTAACCTTTTCACATATTGTTTGCAATAGACCAATTTCGATATATTAAAATTCAGCCTAAGACAATAGACCTCAGCACGAGGAATAACTACAGAGTTTGTGGGGTTTATTCCCCGGAGCCTCGTGCTGAGGTCTATTGTTTTAGGCTGAATCTTAATATATCGAAATTGTGCTATAAGCTACGTTTTACTAGTATTGCAATTTTCTATCACCTTTTGTATAGAGTCTTTGTCACGTGATAACATCCTCAAACTGATGATGGATACGGGGTATCCGAAGCATGTCTTCAAAATTTTAAGAGTGTGCGTATTTTCTTCAAATGTGTAGTCTCGTTCATATTCCTGAGAAATTTTGGCAACAAATCTATTCATTCTTTAGCTTTTAAGGTGGCTCAAAACAGTTTCCAGCACTTTCGGATTCTGATGGGTCATTATAACCACTCTTTATCAGTTGATGCTACAATCATGTTATCAAAAATCTGCCCAAGCATTGGTGAATGCATTATTACCATTTTCGTGACACAATAGGTTACAGTAGCAACAGTATGGCCTGCTAAAACACCCTTAATTTAGTGGCTATAATAGGCCACGTTCGATATACTCAATATTCTAACATGGATCCGAGGCTTTCAGGTTAAACCTCCATATTTGGTGTTGCTTCCTTTGTATCCAAGTCTCTTTTAGGAATTGAGTGAGGGACCAAAGAAAATTGAAAAATTTGCAATTTAGACCCGAAAGCCTCGGAGCCATGTTAGAATATTGATATATCGAGCGTGGCCTATTCAGACGCAACTTTTGGCGAAGTTTTTCAAAATTCTGAGCATGGGGTTCAGAGCCACCTCAGATTTTCGAAAGTTCAAGGTGGCTCTGAACCCAATTACCGTATTATTTGTTTTATTCAAAAGAAAGTAACATTGTGTTTCGTTGTGCGTTTTTATCCCTCGTTACTTTTAATTCCATGCAATGTCTTATGGAGCGCTTATATACCGTATTAAGACAAACAATAGACTGCAAGACTGATACTACGTGAAAAACGTTTCAAGACACCAACATGACAAGAACCGATAAAGTAGGATCGCAACAGAGGACAGCTGTTTCGCCCTTCTTGGGGCTCGTCAGCACTGTGTAGCGAAGATATGTAACGCCAGCCCAACAGCTAATGCATATAAATTGCAAATTTATGTGCGTTAAAATTGCAAAAGCATGTTACTGGCCATGCGGTTGAATGTTTAAATGTTTAGGCTGGCCTTGTCCAGCCACATTTATTCTTTTGCTTTTCGAGACACCAATCTTGAAACTTTGGGTGCTTACCATTTACAAAAACCATCCGGTTGGAAATTTCAGGCATAAACATTAAACAATTAAATTGAACATTGCGGGAGAGGGAATTGCTATAAAGTATATCCACATCAGCTAGAGAGACTTAAAAGAGCAGAAAAATAGCATCAACCCAAATCACAGCCCATATTTTCTGAAGCTTCCCACACGGAATGGCGCGAACCATTTGATTTTCCAACTGGAATTTCCGTTTTCCCATGTAAATGGTAAGTACCCTTTGTCTCCTTGCGCCCCGAAACACGTGATGTGGCAACGCGTGTTTCGGGGTGAAAGTGAGTTCAAAGTACAGAACTTGATATATTGAACGGGTCATTTTGCAATTTATGTGCGTTAGCTGTTGGGCTGCTCGATTCTCAAAATAATGCTACTTTGGTTCCAGAAAATGCTCTGTTTTATTTCAAGCAAAACGTACAAACTCAGGCATTATGTGTGCTTATCATTAACTGAATAGAGTGAAAAGTGCTTAAATGTCTGTTTATAAACTTCTGATACAGCCACAACTTGTCCAATGATAAACAGTTAATTAATGTTCGAAGTCCTTGGCGCTTGTTGTACTGTGACATGACGCTGGCCTGGAGGTAGTCAACAAGACCACAATTCTGTTGCTCGTTGAAGGACGATCTCAATATTGAAAATAGTCTTAGGGTTAGCAGGATCAGCCTCTGAAAGTTAACCGCTGACCAGCTAGGTCCGGACTTATCGAGTCAGTTCAGATGCACTCAGTTCGTAGTTACAGTTACAGAAATCCTTCTCTCAAACACAAAAGCAAATCACCACAATGCTCTTGAATTCTAAAACTGATTTAGCATTTAAAATCTTTTGAGTGCTGAAATCGTGATCAAAGTTGTAAAAAATGCTAAATAATGCTAGCAATTCTTTAAGCCCTGGTCAAACGGACTCGCAAGTAGTCGCAAGTAGCCACAAGTTGAACTTGCGCAGAGACTTGCTTTGGGTGGCTAAACGGACTCGCAAGTTTCCTCGCAAGTACCCGCAAGTCGCAATAAAATCCATTTAAAGGCAGAAATATCCTGTATTTCATTGGCTAATAATAGCTTAATGGACGTCACTCGACTTGCGTTGACTTGGGTTGTGTGGCCAAACGGTGAAAAACTTTCGTCGACTTGTGTGCAAATTTGATCTCGACCAAAGTGAGCGCAAGTCATCGCAAGTGAACGCAAGTGTACGCAAGCCCTGGCCAAACGGAGTCGCAAGTAGACGCAAGTTGAAAATTTGCGTCTACTTGCGACTCCGTTTGGCCAGGGCTTTACATAGAAAAAGTGCGAAAACAATGCTTGTTTAACCAAATAATGCCAAAAAAAGAATGTTAGCATAATCAGGAAAGAGCTAACCGTATTGGCACTTATTAAAATTTTCGGCGTCGACAAAACCGGATCGGACCGGACCGGATCACGGATCGGATCACGGA